CCAGTGGCTTTGCCATCTCACCCACCTTGGTTCCCTTTGCCAGCTGCAGGGTAATGATATCCAGGGCTGAGGCACATGGGGAATTCCATTTTGGAATTGTCCATTTTGGAGTGACAATTGTGTCAGTGTAAATTATGGGGTCAGTATTGATATGTAGTCTTCTCAAAGGCTCAGCACAATTAATGTCCTATTTCTCATATTCTTAGGAGACATGATAATTAAATAACCTTTACTATCCATTTGTAAGCTGCTGAGGGACAAAACGATGTCCACAATATTTAACTGTACAGAGAAGAACAAGAACTCTACCCCATATATCACTGTGATTTTCTAATTCGTCACAAAACCATCACATCTCCACTTAATAAAATAAATTATCCCACCTAGTATGACCTTGCTCTAAACAGGGGCAGAGCAAGTGGTAAAATTTAGAAATTTTAGAAATTTAGAATTTTAGAAATTTAGAAATTTTAGAAATTCACTAAAGCAGTGAATTCTTGAGTGTCACTTCTCTGGATATCCTACTTCTTGTATGAAACAGTACATTCCAGAGAACATATGTGAGGGGGTAACACATTTTTTGCAGCAGAGCATTAAATGGGAAAGACTATGCCAGAAAAGGAATGAGATGGGTGGGAGAAAGAGCTGCTACATGAAACGTGTTTCCAAATGCAGAGTTACCTCCCTGACCTCAATGTCCTCATAAACTGAGTTTATGAGGTATGTGTGGCTGGGGCCCTGGAGTCAGGTCAGCCAGGTGTCTCTAAGAAAGGTTGCAGAACTCAAGATGCCAGCATAGATGTGGGCAGCATGAGGTGAGAGGTAATAACTACAAGCTCAAGCTCATACCTCGATGGATACAGTGAGAAAATTTTGGTTCTTTAAGCAGTACAGAGTAGAAGTTTGGCCTGCTCATGTGACTTTAGCAGGGTTTTGTAAAGTTTGGAGGTTTTATTAGCTTCTGCTTAATAAGCCAGTATCTGTGTCTTGAAATAAACAGCTCCACAGGCAAAAGACATGCAGAAGGCCTGAGATAACCTTTGAGGAAATAAAAGTTGATGGTTTTCAGCCAGTAGTTGCATTATAGAAATGTCCTGTCTGGTTTTACAGGATTCACTGTAAGTTATGTAGACTCTGACCACTATGTATTACTTAATCTTCCTGTAAAAAAAGGCTTCTGTGCGCATCATAATACAGTGGCCACCAAAAAGAGATTGCAAAACTCAGGATATGTAGATGAATCATTGCAGGTTTGGAATGATTCTGTTTATACTATTTGTTCCATCTGGAATGTGGCAACTCACAGGACATATATTTTAAAAGGAAGGATGAAAGATGGCTTAAGAANGTCTACACCAAACTGTCCCGGTTCCTGCGCTGGGTAAGGACAGTCATGAGTTTGTAGTGGTGCTGTGTCCCTTGATCCTCCTTGTTACCTGCCAAGGTGCAGGATTGGAAATGGAAACCTTCTGTTCCTGCTCATGTGCTAAGTTGGTTTTGAGATCTGATTCCTTAAAATTATGGTTTGCTTCCATTTGTATTGTTCCTGGCTTGAAACACCTCTGAGGAAAGTCAAAGTGTTTGGAATTGGTTGAATGAGGGAATTCCCCAGTCAAAAAGGCTGCTGACTGGGGTCTTTGGCTTCTTTTAATTACTTATCCATGGCCATTGTGGTTCCTATCAGTTGTCACGAGTGCTCCAACCAGAGGCTCCTAAACATGTTCTGAAGAGTCACTAGCCATGATGAAAGCAGGAAGGATGGGAGTCACTAAATCCTCCTATTGCAGCCATCTGGCTCAGCAGGGAGTTTATCCATACTGGACCTGTTTAGCTTCTACCTTGAGATGTGTTCAGAAGATGCAGGGTGCAGGGGATCTTGCATGGTAAAAGCTGAGACACAATTAGTTAATCAATATGTGATGCTAAATAATCACATATTCCACAAATGGCCTGCTCAGATCACAGCCGCTCATTAAAAAGGGGTTTTGCTTTCTAAGTATTCTACTTCACTCTCGTTTAATTTTACACTCTGCTCATCAGAATATATATACATGTGCATATTCAGTGTTTTCTTTATCTTGTTCTGGATTGTGTATGGCTGAGGATTGGAAAGCTCCTTGCATGTGTACTGTTCTAGATGTTTCAGTTAAGTGCAATATTCATGTACACCAGCATTTGAAATAAAACATTATTTCTTTTTTTTTTTTTCCTCCTTTGGTTGGGTTTTTTCCTAACAAAGCCCCATCAGCCTCTAACCCCCTTACAATTCCAATGGCTTTTCAAAGCTTCTCCAATCTCTTATGTTCTGTGCTCTGAGGAGCACTGAACTTCCTTAGGCACCTGCTCCGCTTTGAGCTGGTACTGGCTTGTTTCACTTAGCAGATGCTGTGAGCAAAGCAGACTGACAAACTCAAAACACAACTCTGCAAACAGCAAATATTGCTGCAGCCAGCACTAATTGTGGGCAGGAAAGTGAGTGGGCAGGTCAGTTATCTCAGCTTGATGGACTTGACCTGTATAACTCTTCAGTGGGCTTACTTCCATGTTTGCTTGGCAGTGTTTGTTGCCTGATTTCTGTCCACTGGGTTCCTGTTCAAATCCTTTGTCCCACGGGGGCTGCTCCTTGTGCTCAATCAGGGTGAAAGATCCCTCTTCGAAGGAAAGCCTGAGGTCTGGGTCCTACCATATCCTGCTTACATACTCTTGCTAAGGGCTTTCTTCTACTTAAGCAGAGATTGAGGACTGAAGGAAAACACAGACCGGGCTGTAAAGGGGTTGAGGTAGCTGAAGGCATCACTTTGTGTCCATTGCTCTTTCTGTGCCAGCATATCTGCCCTGCTGAGAAGACATGAGTGAAATGTGCTTGCCTCTGAACCTCCTATCAAAGGTCATAAGCAACCCTAGGGCCTGCAACAAAAGGAGGAATTACAACACATTCTTTTTTTAATGTTGACAAATGATTTGGGCATGATTTCACATAACAGAATTGAACAGATTGAACAGATTGCAAAATCCAGGAAAGGAACACAGCCACAGCGGCTGAGTAAACTGGTGGATTTTGAGATACCAGAATTCCTCCTGGCAAGCACACATGGCTGGCTCAGACAAAAGCTGACATGTACCAAGGATGGTG